CCGACTGACTGTGAAACCTATATCGGTTTAATCAAAGCTCTTGGAGCGATTCTATGTATATTTCGAATATATATACCTATTCGGGTCCCTCGTTAGGTTAGTTGCCTATGGAGGGGAATTGAAGGCGCACTTAAATTGGACGATATCTATCACTAGAGCCAAGCAAAGTTTCTTGGTTTAGTCAAAGTAAGGGACGACATACCCGTTCCTTTTCGAATAGCTTACTATTCCGGGAGCACTGAACGCAAACTTTATAAGAACGATATCTTCAATAGATTAAAACTTAATATTTTTCCTACATGAGAAGCTTTATTTAGACTGTAAGAATTTCATTGAGTTTTTTGGAGTCTAATATAAACAAACCAGATGCCGACAGAGTTTTAGACGATAGAAATGTTTTAATTTCCAACTTTTGGGACGAGTTTTGAACAAACTTTGGTTAGTGTTCTTGCCGAGAGTTAAGTTAACTTTCCCTGCAGATATCATTTTATCCCTCCCTAGCAGGTGCAAATTCCTAAACCTCGGTTTTGCTTACACGAGAGTGACACGAGGAGTCACACGAAAAGTCTTGAACTGGTGAACCTATTGCAGAGTAGCAAAGACATGGTATTAAGCTCCCTATGCCGAAGGCTAAAGTGCGAAACCAAGTATCTCCTGCAGACTTCCTATTATACTTTTACTTCGTCGGAAAGTGGATTTTTACACAAACATCTCGGGCATTTTTAACTGAAAATTCCACTAAATTTTCCTCTCATCTCATGAAAAGTCATAATAAATTTCGACGAAAATCGGTGTAAAACATTGAATCGTTCAATAATTGTGCAGCCATGGAATAGAGTGACGTTCCCTCGTCTGGAAAACAACGATTCCTCAGACCATATTACAGACAAAATCCTCTGAAAAATGTTGAAAAGCTTTCCTGAAAATTTGTGATTTATCAAAGTAAATTTAGCATTGTCTGAAGGCTCATATGGCGTTCGTCCTTAGCACAGCAGTAAAGGTACTCTAGTTTTGACGCCCTGGAAAACATTTTGTATGCCACCGCCACCACCGAACGTCTGTCTATGTTGACTACCAATGTTTATGTCCCGCACCGGGTCTAATTTACACGTGTTTAACAGCGACGGCGACGACACTCAACAAAGGAAGTCTAGCGCCCAATCCTCATTGTTTTGGAGGGAAACTGACCTATGTGGCTCGCTGAAAGGACCCTCGCCTCCGCCCCCCACCAACGCCCTTGCCCACTAATCAAAAACCACTTATCTCCATACGGTTTCCTCTTCAGTTACGCCGTTATACCGTGCCGGCGGTGACCAAAAGGTGGATCCTGCCACCGATGTTGAGACCGTGACGCGCTGTTGTCGGACTTCCCTGAAAATCAGCCTTTTTCGGAGACATTTCAGGTTGATTCCATTGTTTTTCGTGACGGCCCGGCAACGACGTGGCGCTTGAACGTGCGGATATCGCTGTTTCGACCCGGGCAACTCTCGGAACTCGGGGTCCAGTTTTTTCTTCTTCTTTTTCTCTCTTCTTTTTGTATAATTGCAAAACGTTAACACCAGAAACTTCGCACAGTGGTCCGGACTACTGGCTAGTCGGATCAGTCTATTTTTAAAGCAGTAGCTTGGCATCCTTTGCGATGTATTGATTGATTTGCCGTTTAAACCTATGGGAAAGGCTCGATAGACAGGGTGTTTGCAACGAACACTTTCATAATCGATTCTTCACCACAGCTTCAAATGGGGAAATATCGACAATCGATCAATATCGCCTCGCCACTGGTTTAATGTTGTCAAGTAAAAAAATCGAATAACGGGCTCCTCCGCCGTATTGAGGAAGGACGCTTTATGAGGTTACAGACGTTGCTTCTCCATCGACTAATTGCAAATTTTCAGGAACAGTTGAAAATATTCTTCCTCCGATTTTATGGAGAACTTTGTTCGTAATTTGACCTAAAGTGTCTGAATATTTCCTGGAAAAATATTCATACCTTTCTCCTAAAATAATTACTTCTGTGAGAGGAACTCTGGCAATATTCGAATGATCATACGGCGTTTTCCCTCACGCACTAAAGGCACGCCATTTAATGCGCGCAGGAGCGCAATTTCACAGCCCGAGTGTACATACATTCAGGCTCGGACTGTCCAATGTCCATAAGGTCAATCTGCCATTGGCAGATACGCCCTCTTGGCGCGCCGAAAACGCGCCCCTCTTACAGATAGCAAAATGAGAAGAAGAAAAAAAATTACGACCGAGAATATGTGAGGAAATTTTTTCATATGAACGGAAGAAGAGAGAGTTAGGAGTAAAGAAAGGTGCTTTTACGCATGATGGTGGTGAACAGAGGTCCAAGAACTACTTTCTGAAGCGTAAACAATGTTCTGTGAAATTTTTACCTTCTTTTTGACATACAGGTGCTTTATCATCCCCCTCCGTCATTCGCTATGTGTAACTCCCTTAGAAGCGATGGCCGGTTTGAGACATACGCACCCTTTATAGACCTCTTGAAAGACCTTTAAACATATTTCTTCCTTTCAATATAACTATTGATTCGGACATACCATAGCATATCTCGGGCAAACTTAACCTTAATTTATCTCGAAACTCAAAAATAAGAGACATCTAAAATGTAACGCGATACAATTATTTGCGCAAGATGGATGCCCACATTGCATACGAAAAATGTAAAACGCCATGGCGTGAGTCGTGAACACGCGATGCTCTGCTCTAGTTTGAAGCAACATTACAAATAAGACAAACGCAAGCAAACACAATATGGATATAAAGCGAGGGAAAGGATGCGCGTTAACGACGGCGCAGAGATACAACTATTCGTACTTGATGGACGTCCGTGCTGCATCTGAAGAATTGAAGGCGCGATGACGCGAAGCGTGAGCTCTCGATGCTCTGCTATATGCTAACAATGAGGTGTCGCTCAGATTCGAGAGAAAAGTTTTAAAAGGAGCCCGAACATATCTCTCCTACCTTCAGCTGTGTTACTCACGTAGTACTTGAAGCACCATTACGAATAGGACAATCGCAAACTAACACAATACGGTAATAAAGCGAGGGAAAGAATGCGCGTTTACGACGGCGTAGAGATACAACTATTCGTACTTGATGGGTGTCCGTGCTGCATCTAAAAAATTGAAGGCGCGATGACGCGAAACGCGGGCTCTCAATACGTCTTTCCTGCATGTCTTCAGCTACGAGCTCGTATGTTGATACTCGTTTTTTCTTCTTTTTTCAGGTTCTTGTCTGATTCTTTAGGATGGATTTGCAGACCCACGTCTCAAGCTCGTGTAAACCGCAGCACTGGCTCGTTTCTTTTGGAAATAATGATGCGTGGGTGAGTGTAGTGGCTTTAATTTTGTATGTTTTCTTTAATTCCATAGTCCATCGGTTACTTCAATACGTTCAATTTTGCAATTTAGTGTATTTTCCGAAGGAAATACACTATTGCATTCTCCCATGATGTCGGACCCAGACCTGAGACATTGTGAAGAGCACCGATCACGGGTCGTAGATCACGAAAATATATGCTATTCAAATTCATGTGTATATATATATGTATGTATATATGTATGTATATATGTATGTATGTATGTATGTATGTATGTATGTATTTCCGCCTTTTGAAGATTTTTCGATTTTTGAGTGGTTATATCTTTCTTACGTTGAAAGATATTTTGACCAATTTTTTTGCATTTTGTAGAGACTCATTAGGACTACTATTCTGCGAAAAAAAATTGAAATTTGAGGCAATAGATTTTGAGGGGTGGGGCTCGAAAATGGGGGGAGGTCAAATCTTGTCCACTCGATAACTCGAGCGAAAATGAATATTTTGAGCTGAAATTTTTACGGGTGGTAGTTCTCCCCTAGGACTGGTTTGGTATTGAATTTGAGCTAAATCGGCCGAGCCGTTTAAAAATGGCGAGCTTTGAAAGTTTTAGGCGAGGGGTGCGCGGCATGAGGGGAGCCGGCCGGAGCAGGGCCGCACAGTGGGTCGGGGGAGAAAGTTTTTGGACAAGCTGATCGTCGCACAGTGGGTCAGGGGAGAGAAGTTTTTGGACAAACTTTTCGTCGCACAGTGGGTCAGGGGAAGGAAGATTTTTTACTCTGTGCGATCAATAAACTTTGATCCTGAAAACATCGTAAACTTGTGCTGATTTGCCAAAATTTTCCACGTAGAGAAAATACATATGAGTGAAATTCTCTACCAGGAGATATCACATTACGCCTTTCAACCAGCCAAGGGTCTACACTCTACACCCTCAGATGCGAGCTAGTCCGACCCTGCATACATTCACTGTAAAAGAACCATTCACCTCAAAGACTATGTGTAGTAATGTATTGTATGATAGAGATATATTTGTAGATTTTCTTGGAAATGGCGTAGTTTATGGAAAAAATGCATTCTACATAAAGTGTTTGAAATTATATCATGAGTTGATTTAAGCAAAAAAATCGGACGTTATGGTCCATTTTTCATACTTCGAATTCCGGATTTTGCTGACCAGGTTGTACCGACCTACGTCATAGGGTACACAATCCTCAAGATGCAGACACCTCCTTTTTTTTCTCCATGCCGCAGTGGCACTGCGTTAACAGCTTGCCGTATTTCCTCACTCGTGGTCCATGGACCAGCAACGTCCCGTCTTGAAAAATCAACACACCCCAATCAGAAGCAGCGGCAGCCTTTTTTTTTTCTGAGGCAGTTGCCTGATTCTAGCGGAGCCGGCTCCATTGTGCCACGCGGGGATCGCGGGGGGCACCACGGAGGGAGGGGTTCATTCATCATTTCACAGAAAGAGGGAAAGTATTTTGTCATGACCGCGCGAAGAGATGCCTTCAAAAAAGGGGCGGTGGAACCGCACCGCTCCGCGCCGCGACCCGTTGGTGGGGGCGATAAGGAGAGAGAGAGAGAGAAGAAGGGAAGAGGAGAAAGAGAGGGAGGCCAGTGATTCGGCGGCGCGTCGCAATTCTCTCACACATCGGGCCGAAGTTATTTAGTCGCGTGTTTACATTGATCCGTGGAGCACGTGCGTGGTGAACGCTTTCAGTGAGTGTGTAACTTCTTCCTCTGTTCGATTGGAAACTAATCACGGCATCTCTTGTTGTTCTTGTTTCTCACCATGGTGGACCGAGCCGAAATCATCCCTCTGCACAAACAGAGCGGGGTAAGCGCTTTTCCCTCTTGTTCTACTTGCTTCTTCTCCGCGGTGTTTCCCCGGGACCCGGCGTTTTGCACCACGAGGGATGCCGGTAAATATTGCGTCAGCGGGCCGATTGTTGAAAGTTTACAGCAGCATGAAAGACATATTGCGATGAATTGCACGGTTTAGTGAAGGTTGTGTCTTGACTTATCGTTAGGTTAGGTTTCGCATAGTTTCAATAATCGAGATACCGAGTTGCCATAGTCATGGAATACCGGGAAATGTCAGGGAATTTTTAAAGTCAGGGGAAACGACGAAAATGTTAGGGAAGAATCACCTTTGTTTGCTTTCTCAAGTGGATTTGACGTTTCGAACAACAAATCTTGCTTGAAAACTATTTCTAACCATGTCTTTTAATCGATCTGGCATTGTCAGGGAAATGTCAGATAATTTATTTTTCCAAATTCTGTAGCAACCCTGGTATTATGTGTGTCACCGGAAAAAGTTTCTTGGATCCAGAGTCCAGACCCTTGATAAATTTGGCAAGAGAAAATACTCTTGATTCAATCGGAATTTTGCTTGAATGAAGAGCCAAGCTTCTTAATTTAGCGGATTTCCTCTTGCTTCAAGCAAAAATCCGATTGAATCCAGGTATTTTTCTTGTCAAATTTTTGTCGGGACTCCAGCTCCAAGATACTAGGTATTTTCTCCAGTAATAGGCTACGTACCTACACAGACCTACCTACACACACTTGCATGGGGGATAAAGTATTCAGAATGTGATGATGCAGGTTTTTCATCACAGTCCGCAGTTGCAAAGGAAAACTAATGGACATAATTTCGTTGAATTTACTCTGAGTTTTCCTCATTCTGCACCGAATATCTTGTGAAAATTTGGGACACGAGTTTCTCATTCATTCAACGTTTTTAAAGTCGAACAACAGCTAAGGTGTTTTTAAGTACCTAATTTCGCAATCGAGATTTACGGTTTTCGATGACAATGCTAATCATTCCGTGGATTCATGTCGCGAGTCTCTCGTCAACTTTAATATACCTATAGCCTCCCTGTGATTAAAATTTTCACGTCAACGATATCGACGGTGTAACTGCAGGAATATGAAGCTCGTAATCGGTGCTTTCAATTTTTTAGAGAAAGGGAACAAACTAACGTTTTTATTTAACATTCCGCATAAGTATTCTTCACACACGGAGAGGAAATCAAGAAATTTTTCCAAAAGCTACGTTGAGTATTCCTTTTCTCATCTAGAAAATAATGTTAAACTTTTCGTCTGCAACGTCGCAAATCGAGATACGCGTTCTTACAGTTTCACCGCTGGAAAGGGGGAAAGTTTAAAGCCAACTGACTGCCAAAATAATCGGGTGTTATTCATACTTCGTGTAAAATTAAAGAGCCGGGAGCCCCGTTTTATTTATGAAATATGATTTTCCATCAAGCTGAATTGATTATTTTTTTCGCTAGCAGTTGAGCGGTCAAACGGAACTGGCTATGTAGCAATGGTTGCCTCTAGTCTGGAGATGAACACGTAATCAAAGGTATCAAGTTGTCGCAGAAACGCAACTCTCCTTTCCAAGAAATCTTAGAATTTATTAAATCCTGAACCCTTAAAATCGTGGAGATTTTGGCAATGCGAGATTACTTCTAGAAATTTTACGGAGATGTGACACTTCATGTGCTGTAATGCACCTTGATCGCATGTTTCCCAATTTTTTATTTTTAGCGGAGTTATTGCAAAAAAAAAATTGCCAAAATTTTTATGCCCGTTTCGAGATTAATATCGGTCCTGTGAAACTGGAATTGGTTACGAGTAAAGAGCGAGCTAAATTGATTACCCACTGAAGCATTCTCTCTCCTCAAAGTGTTGATTATACTGCCGTGCTAAGGAGAAACGCCGTATGAACCCTCAGGCGTTGCCAAGTTTCCTCCGACAAAAACCGAATTTATCGGGGAAATTGTCATTATTATTTTCCAAAATTTTCAGACGATTCTGTACGCAATTTAAGTAATCTAAAATACTTGAAATTTTCAAGGAAAAATATGCACGAGTGTTGTCAAAAATACACGTTTTATCAAGGGAAATTTGGCAACTCTCGAATGTTCATACGGCGATTTTCCTTAGCACGGCAGTTTAGGACGAATCATCGCAAAAAATCTGAAGAGTCCATTGTTTCTATGTTACGGAGAACAGAGCCAACCATTGAAGTCTCAGCATAGATTCTCTACTCATTCATGAAGCCCATACATGTATGTACAATGCACATTTGTACATGTACATTTACATTTACATTTACATCCATCAAGGAAGTCAAATACTTAGTGGAGAGGAGAGGGGCAAGGATTGCTTGGATTTTCCCTTTAAAAGGTAGAGAAAAGTCGAAAATTCTGAATAATGTCTAATGCTATCTCAAGGGTACCACTAGTTAAATTCAGATCTATTCCCTAATCTAAGTATAATTTTTTTCCCAAATTGAGTCTTGATTCCCTCTCACTGACTTTGGTCCGAATCTGAGGTGGCTTTTCTAGCTCGTGACACTCCGTAAACTTTCGATTTTTACTAGCATGACAGTCCTCTCGCTCAGGTATTGGCTGCGTTCGTCGCGTTACTTGCATAGGACTAACAATGTAAACATAAACACGTGTGGCCGGTCAATAGGTTTCCGCGTGAATTGTAAACAATGAAAGTAAACAAAATCGACGAAGAGTCAACGTCGCGAACAATCGCGAGATGATTCCACGAAAAGTGGCCCTCTTTCTTGCCTTTTCTTTTGCAGTGAAACATGGCACTGGGCCCATCCACAGTTCGCAGTTATTTCGCAGCCCGTGTCTGGTCCAGGCGCTGAGAGAGCAAGTTGACATTTACTGCGTTTATCGTAGATAACTGTGGCGACCGAATATTTCAGACAGATTTCGACTACTTTATGCAATGAGGAACTACCATTTCTGGCCCATCCATGAAAGCACCTAAGCATATGAGGCCTTATATGTAACAATGGCGGATGTGAAAATTTACCTCTTTGAAACACGCTTAAACAACTGTTTTGCTCACACAAAAATTTAATATGTTTGGCTCTAGCATAATGTACAGATCTCGAAGATAACATCTCAAATATTTTCTCGATGCCAAAACAGTTTTTTGAATGTGTTTCGTAAAGGTAATTTTTCACATCCGCTGTTGTTACATATAAGTCATCATATGTAGATGGAAAATAATGGCATATATGAACGACATTTTGCAATTAGAAACTACTATTTTTGGCTCGACTATGAAAGCTCCTATTATATCTGCATAGGGAAACTAAAGAACGGGACTTAAGATTTTTACAAATTGAGCCAAAAACAGCAGTTCCTTAATGTAAAATGTAGTCCATTTAGTAAGTATCATGCAAAAAGGAATCAGAGTTTGCCGCGGAAGAAAAGGAGTGTTCTGCTATGCGAAGGAAAAACGCCGCACAGTAGATCGAGTCAATTGGAGCGGTCGGACATGGAATTTTTTACTGAAACTGCAAATTTTGATGTTTATTTTGTCATATTTTAAATTTTTTGAGGTGTTTCTGGCGGAAAATTTCACGAGGAAACCAATGGAACCACCGTTAGAACCTCAAAATTTTGTATAAACGGAGATATTAGCGTTTAAAGTTTCCAAATTATGTCCGACCTCTCCTATTGACTCGATCCACTGTGCGCCGTATGAACCTTCGGACGCCGCCAATTTTCACTTGATAAAACAACAATTTTTCAAGAAACTTGTGCGACTCTTTTTCTTCCAATTTTTTAATGTTTTTTGCAATTTATTCGCAGTTCGATCTGAGGTATGTGAAAATTTCAAGGCGCAATATTCTCAACTTAATTTCTCAAGAAATGTATTTAGGGGAAATTTTTCAACATCCACAGATCTATCAGTCGTTTTTTCCTTAGCATGGCAATGTTCACTTCGAAGCAACCGCGTTATAGGAAACGGCGTATAATGTCAGATAAAATTCCTCTTAAATAATTTGAATTCTGACGGAAATTTTGAATAGCCGCAATCGCGATACATGTCCAGTTATTCCACCGTCAATTTGCAACAAGGTACCTCTATTTTTGGCTCATCTATGAAAGCACCAAAAAATAGTAGTTCTTTCCGCAAAATGTAGTCCAATGCACCGAGGCAACATTTTACTAGCGAGTCACGGCCTCACTTCGATGATAAAACTTTATTGTGAGATTCAAGGAAAAACCGAGAAAATTTATGAAATTGAGAGACGTGTCACTCGTACATCTTGAGGAAATATTACGCGGAAAAGTGGTGTTCTGAGAGACTCTTGACGAAACACTCAAAATCGTTTTGAAACACTCGAGCTTCGCTTCGTGTACCAACCCCCTGTAACGCTGCTTAACATTCCCCCGAATTCCCCACCCATCCTGGAGTATGTGGAGTATGGACCCGTCGTAGATTTCATATCACAATTTAGTTTGTTGGAGAGTGGCCGTTCATAATTTTTACCCGTGATTTTGATTTTTCTGTGATCTTCCGAGGGCATTCCCTGAAAATTTTGTAAAAGAAATGCCCGATAATTGTCTCGGAAAATTGGAGACGGGACGTAAATGTTTGAGCGCCACAATCAAGACACGATTTTTCGTGATTTCACCGTCCTCTAGAAAAAAAATAACTTGGATGTAGAGTCCAGACTTTAAAAAAATTGACAAGAAAATGTACTGTTGGTTCAATTTTTGCGTCAATCGAGAGCCACTCCTTTTAATTTAACCGAATTTACTTTTGATTCGAGCAAACATCATATTAAATCATGAGTATTTTTTCTTGTCAATTTTTTTAAGAGTCTAGACTAAAGATCCTAATTACTTTTTTTTCAATGCCGTTGCCGTTGTGAAGTGAACTTTGGAAGTTACTCAATAATGAGGCTGAAATCACTCAAAAGACTTAGAACCTACAGTCTGTGAAAGTTAAATCTCCGGAAGCGTATTTTCTTGGAAAAATCGTCCTGCATTTGCGATTAGCAAATGCGGT